GAGGAGGAGGAGGAAGGTGAGTACTATGCATGAATGCTGCCGACTACGACGACGACATGACCGCCATCGGATCCATATTTCATCCAGAATGCCTCTCATTCTCAGAACAGACTGGCAGTCTGGATAGAAAGATTCAACGCAATTTACCTACGTACTTCACTTTCCTTTCTATTACTGGTTAATGAGATTAAACATCGTGGAAGTAAGTAGGCGTGACTAGTTTACTCGTTTACTTATACAAATTCTGAATTCTGCATGCTACTACTGCTGCTGCTGCTGCTGCTGCTGCTGCTGCTGCTGCTGCTGCTGCTGCTGCTGCTGCTGCTGCTGCTGCTGCTGCTGCTGCTGCTGCTGCTGCTGCTGCTGCTGCTGCTGCTGCTGCTGCTGCTGCTGCTGCTGCTGCTGCTGCTGCTGCTGCTACAGGGCACACTGTCTTATCGCACGTTCTCCTGTCCACAACGCCATATGACCCCTGCCAAATGTGCATGGTATCTCCTTTGCAAATGCTCAGGGAATCTGCAGGTTACATAGGGGTCAATATTTCCGCGAAGATCTTGTTGGAGATTGACTGGCAATCGCGCCGCGGCAGCTATAAGCCTGTGAGGACCTAACTGACCACGACCATCAGGTCCTTTGCTGAGAGGATGCTGCATTCTGTACAGAAACACTTAGAGAACCGGTTGAAATAAGTTGGTAGGCGGAAGGGGGAGAGCAGGCTCGGCACCGTGAGAGCGAAATCCTGAGTGGCGCTGGGCAGCGTGTCACAGCGCCTTGAGTGAGAGCCCGTCTGAGTCGGCCTTGAAGATGATTGGCCGATGAGCAAAACCGTGATTGGCCAGGAGCCAGATTACTGCCACGGGTAAGCACGTGTGAGAGGCGCAGCGTTGAACAGGCGCCCAGCGTAGGGCCACTACAGGGCTTTAGACTAAGCTTTGACTTGTGATCAGGTTTGCGTTTCTGGCCCGGATTTCAATTACGGTTAGTGTTAAGATAAAGGAATAAAACGCGGTTTTCAGACAGGATTTTCAATTAGGTCAGGATCTACGATTACGTCCACGTGCATGGTACTGCATTAGGTCTTGAATTAGACTAACAAAATAGGATTGCAGTTAGGCTCAAGGTTACGGTCAGGACTGTGGGTAAAGCTATGGTTACACTTGCTGCCGTGTTTAGAGCCAGTGTTAGTATGTAGTAACCAGAGCCTACCGCTTGATGCCTGACTTGAGTTCCAACAAATGAGCACCTACTCGCTGGTCGCTGTCCAGGGTTATAGTTTCGCAGTCCGCATTTTGAGCCAATGCCGAGTGCCATTTCATGCACGACAGTCTGCACCAATACAGAAGGTCAAGGCTGCAATCGGTGTCGATGACCAACTATAGCAAATGGTTTGCTGTTTGATGGACCTCCAGCAAACCTTGAGCGTGAATAATTGTAGAGAACATAAAAAAGCTCTCCGTGAACGGCAGCATAAATGGCATTACGACTCGAGTAGGCCTCATATCCGCATAAGGGATTCTACACAGCCACTTCTAAATAGTAGGATGCATGGACTGGTCGGGCCAAGGGAGCAAGAAACGACGCAGGATTGGAAGAAAAACTGACTTTTTGATGAGGGACTGGAACGCTTTTCCCAAACTGCGGAACAAAAAACCTGTTTGTCCTCTGTTTCTGGTTTTGTACGACATGCCTGAAGTATTACTCGCTGGCAGTATTTTGGGAATTGGGCTCATTAGAAGACTACAGAAGTTGAAAAAGATTTTGTTGCCCTGGTAGATAACTGGTTGGTTACTATTCAACGTCACGTGCACTGTTATCAGTAAGAACTATGTACCGCATTTGTGTCCGTTTGGATGTCATTATCTTAGATGAAATTGTCGAAGCCATCTTTTGTCTCTAGTTTGAAGATACTACACATGCCGTCATTTAAAGTATACAAACCAAGCATGCCTCGAACGGGTGCAACGTAGGGCAACAAAGATGGTAAACGGTCTAAAAAACCAATCCTACACGGGCAGACTGAATTGCCTTAATCTATTCCCTCTGTGTTACAGGCAGCAAAGAGGTGATCTAATCCTGGTTTACAAGATAATAAATGGCCTTGAGCATGGACTTAGCTTTGAGAACATGTTTCAGTGGCACCTTTCACCCAATCTTCGTGGCCACTCGATGAAGCTACGGACAACAATGTCCAGGCTGAACCTTCGTTCTGAATTTTTCACGCAAAGGGTAGTGGAGAAATGGAACGATCTCCCTCAGTCAGTCGTGGAGGCGACATCCCTGCAAATCTTCAAGAAACGCTTGGATGATTATTTGTGTCCCCTGTTTTCCCTCGACAGTCTGAATCTGAGTTAAATACCCCGGTTCCCCATATATTTTTTTCTCTTTGACGATGCTACTTAAATGAATCAAGTACTATTTATATAACGAATATTTTCATTGTTACTGTGCAGTTATTTCTAACGAGCTGACATGTAATCAATAGGGTTTTCTAAGGCTTTGCCTATCATCCTTATCAAATAAACTGAAACTGAAAACAAACAAACTTACGGATCAACTCAGATATGCGCTACAAAAAACTAGTCGCAACCTCTGGTTGTCTAGTTGGCATGAGTCCTGGGCGACTTCCCCGTTGACACTGCTTTCGGGCCGTCGTTGCACTGACGGAAACTGGGCGTGGAATGGCTGCTTCTCGATCCCTGGTCGCACTGGGTTCTGTGAAAGTGAATAACTCTTCCCGCTGATGTGGCTGAAACCGAAGCTGTGAGTGTTCTCAGACAGTACTCCAAGAGTCATCAACTCGAAATGTGTTGACCATGTGAGGAGTGGAATGCGTGGTTTCCAGTACGCGCTGAGGATCAATAATAAATAACATACTAGTCTCTTATATTCAGTAGCGATTATGTTGTGCTTCGCAGCATCCCTGTGGGCCGTACTCGCGCACAGCATTCCAAACCTGCCTCGACCGCCCACTTTTCGAGTAACATTGGGCAACTCATTAGTCAGAAACCTTTTCATGCGTGTAAGAGCTAGTCAACCGTCAAGAGAAAAGCGACCTTATTTCCTTGTTATATTTTTTATTGGCTTGCCGCAAATGCAAACTAGACAAATCATCGATGGTTAATCGGGATGAAGTCGTGAAGTTTATTGTAGTTTCTGGTTTCCAGTTGTCCAGCCGCCCTCCAGAACCAGGAGTCCATACCAGAGGAGTCATTACAGCATTCCGTTTGCACATTGCTGTTTTTCTAAATGCATAAAAGTGAGAATAAACCGCCCTCATATTATATTTATACGAAATCCAGTGAAAGACCTGGGGCGAAGGTAGGAAGGCTTTGCTAAAAGCATTGCAGTAGTTTAAATGAGCTAAAGTCAGAACACTGTCAATGGTTGGGAAATGACCCTGAGCCACTATTTCTATAGTGTCAAATAATGACTGGACCCTCGTTGCCCTTGGGGCGCGTTCAAATGGCCGCATGGGCAGCTGCGACTGCGCGGACGCAGGTATGCCCGAGCTGTTGGTCGTGTGACTTCAGGTCAGCTCGTCTGGGACGGCCCGCTGCAAGTAGTGAATGACCTTGAGGCAGCGAGGTCTTGAACAATGACGCCGGACCAGTCATGATGGCTAGGCACTACACCCTCAACATTAGGAACAAAAAAGAATACAAAGGTTCATTATACTCCCGAAATCCCTCAAAGAGCGATTAGGAGCGATTACAAATAATGCGGTGTTTGAAATGTCGTCTTTGACTGGTTACCGGGCTGTCTGGTGTCCTTGTTCGAAGTCCCGCTGCCTGAAAATCATTCACCTTTGCAGCGAGATTATAGTAGTATATTTAGGGTAATAGGGGTGTGGTGGAACGCCAAGGTGAGGATCCGTCCGAGCCATCCACCTGCGGCCTCTCTCGTCTCCGGTCTTCTTGACTCTGTCTTGACACCGGGCTCGGGCGAGGGAGGAGGAGAGAGTGTAGGTAGATGCTACGCAAGTCTACAGGCACTATAAACCCCTGCGTAAGTCACTGTCCCTGCTCCCATTGCTGCCGCAACTGTGGGGCACACGGTGGACATCATCGAAACCGATGGTCGAACTGTCATTTAGGGTAATAGGCAATGCCCTTGACGGCCCTATTTAAAACAGTACATGTAATATTAATGCTGAAAACACATCTTACTAAAATGTTTCCAGTAACATATTCGTATGCGATAAGGATTTTGCAGTGTGGAACTGCCAAGATTACGACAGAGGGTCCTTTCCCTGTGTATTTGAGATTGTGCGTGCAGTTATATACAATCAGCATAAAATGCCGTCATTTGGTAATTTGCGGGAGAAAATTTCACCAAACACGCGTTTCATAGGGCGTGAAATGAGGCGTATAGGCCTGCATCCACTCAACCGACTTCATCTCAGATACGTGCGACAAGACCATGAACCTATCAAAGCCGCTACCACCACTTATCTTACTCACTTTAAGGTCCTACTTAAGACAGTCATAACACGCGCTGTCTTCACCAGAGGCCGCTGCCGCTTGAGACACCAACACAGGATTCTGTACACAATAAATTTCTCCTAAATGTGCCGAATGCTTTCTCCTGCTACCCATGACATAACCTGAAGATTGCGGCGCTCTCAGTACAGCCTTGCTACTTCGACGCTACTCGCGAAAGAATTCTAAAAAAATCGGATGGTGAGGCGCAGGATTTACATTGTTACAAGCCCATCCCGTCTAATGAAATCACATAAGCTGCTTTGAAAACTTTGCGTACACCATAACAGCGAAAAAGGCATACCCATTACCAGAAAACATCCAGCGGTAAGTGAAGAAGCTAGCCGGCTTCCACTTCTGGCGATTTACCGTTCATTGCCGTCACAGATGATCATAAGCCGTGTCCCTATTGAATCTGAGAGGTTAAAAAGGTTAATGCTGCCAAAATCCTCATCATCATAATCGAACCCACGTGCAAATGACCAGCACTTATTAAGTTCTGGGCTAACCTTCAAACGGCCAACAAACTCAGTGGGGCTTACGGTTGACCCGTGGGTTGCGTTCCGGACCTCTAAAAGGGCCAGTGACTAACGTCAACTTTGGTGCTTATACGGCAGCAATGTGCCCCATGTCTGCGCCATAAGCTGCGCAGCCACTTGGTAAGCTGTTGCATTGTGACCTGGATACTTCCCACTAGGCGCGAAAACATTTCGGCATTCTGGCCTTGTCACTTCCAGGCCATGTGAGAAATTGGCAGGTAGATTTCGTTCTGACCTCTGGGCCGGGTCTAACTCCAAGACGGCGCACGCACGCCGTCGTGGCTAGAACACCCGTACGCTGCACGCACGCGCGCACACACACGCATGTGGGAGCGAGAGACGGACAGGCGCGCGTGGTGCGACATGACAGCGCCTGCGGCTATCGATCGCTCGTCCAGGCTGCGCGCCGGCCACAATACGGCTTCTGCAGGGCTTGGAGCAGCTGGTCGTGCAAGCAGCTTTCGCGCGTGAAAATAACCGGACCTTTGGTGTTTTTTCGCGTCCCTTCTCGCGGGGAACGGCGGCAGCGGAACGGTCGTCCTTGCAGGAGGACCAGGAACGGCAGCTGTTAGGCGGCTGATCCGAACTGCAAGCAGGGAAGACAACCTCTAGACGTGCAGCGAAGATCATGGGTAGGAGGATTTGTTCGGCGGCATTTAACAAACTGGTACCACGCTAATGTAGCGCGAGGCTAACAAAGTGGATCTAGGGGTAGCCCCAGCGTAGTAGGAGGGCTCGCCCAAAGTAGCACGGGGTGTGGCATGGCGTTTTCTTCAAAATATACACACACTGCCGTTCAAGAAATATACCCCTGGTTAATCCCCGTAGGACCGCGCAAAGAAAGTTTTGTGCCGTGCTTTTTTAACTCAACTGATTGCAAAAAACTGGGAGGTCCATTGTTTGACAGTTGTGTAGAGCAAACAGTTATCTAATAAGAAGCTCGACTGGGGCCTTCCAGACAGCAGCGACCCCCTGTTACCTCTCAATAGGCATCGAGATTTTATGCTAAGGGATCAGAAAGTTAGTTTGTGCGGTGAACACTGCGCAAACTGGGCGGATTTCGGCTTAAAGAAAATAGGTGTGGTTTTGTGAAAGCCAGTGGGATCTAGAATTGCCGCCCAGTCAAAAAGACCTGAGCACATGTTTCGTTGCTGGATTTCTTAATCAGGTTTCAGACGACAAATCAGCCATATCGATTGGCTTGTGCGCTACCCTATCCTTTGCAGTGATGAAGAGCCATCATGACTAGAGATTGACAGTCTGGCAAGGTCGTTGTCGCGGCGGGCAACTACACTGGTAGGTCTTCATGTGATGACTGCGTGCGTATTCCAAGTTTGTACACGTCGTTCCCGAAAGTCGCATCGCTGGCTGACGTGCTCTCCAGTCCTTCCCTCCCAGCTCTCACATGGGGTCGACCTTACCGCCATGGCGGCTGAACAACGGCGAGCCAGTTACCCTGAGGATGGACCCGTTAGTGGTCTCCAGCTCGTAGGCGTTCTCCTGGCCAGTGATACTGGCACAATCCTTTGTGACATCTCGACTCCTTCTCATCGCCCCTTCGTGCCTGCCCTGATGCGTCGAGCTGTGTTTCAATATCCTTATTGACTCTCCCATCCTGGGATCTGAGCCTAAACAAAGCTTCTCGCCGAAAAGTCCATCGAGCTTGGCGGGAAAAAAGACGTCAGAGTCTGGACACGTTGGTGCCTGAGTTGTCAGCGAAACAAGATGCAGTGCCAAAACAAGTCTCCACCAGACAGCTTACCCAGACCCCACACACGATTCAGCCATGTGGGTGTCGGAGAACCCTTACATCCATTCGGCAGATTCGCTCACCTACTTGTCTGTGTCGACCGGTATACCTCCTGGGCCGAAGCCATCCCTCCGCCGAACGTGGAGAAGGACATCATCATCAAGGTTTTCGTCAGTCGCAGGGTCGCCATTATCGGAGCCCCTTCAACGGTTAGGACCGATAAAGGTGCCCAGTTCCAGCCACCTCTCTTCCAAAACTTTCTCACTTTTTGGCTTCATGCACAGTAAGACATAGGCTTGCTACCCCACGGCCAACGCCATGGTCGAGCGTCTCCACCGCCAGCTCAAAACCACCCTGTTTGCTGCAGACAACCCTGCAAACTGGTCTGACAACCTGCCTCTGGCACATCTTGGCATTCTCGCGACAATGGATTCGGATCTGGACTGCAGTGCAGCCGGACTGACGTTCAGCACTGCTCTTTGACTGCCAGATGATCTCGCCAACCCCTCGCGGTGAGGTTTTGGATCCGGCCGACCTCCTGCGTCGTCTCCAACGGTTTATCCGAACACTTTCCGGTACCGCCCATGCTCTCATTCTCCGAGTCCTATGTCGAGAAAGACTTAGTAATACACTCACATGTTTATCTCCGATGTGATCAAGACCACCGGCCACTTGAACCAACCTATAATTGCCCTCCAGATTTGTCTCTCGAGGGACGAAAACGTTTCGCGTGTGACGTGGAACTCGTGTGGAGGTCGTTATCGTAAACCGCCTCAAAGCTACTGTCCTTGACACTCCACCAGACATGCCCTGTGGTCCTCTATCTCCTGCTCCTCCTCCCCCTACCCCGTACACTTACTCTGCCTCCAAGTTCACTACCTCCAACTGCAACTTCCTCGCCAACCACCAGCACTCCGACGGCTGCACACTCTCACCCTTCTCCTATGCCCCCTGTATATATCACACACACTGGACGCCACGTTCCCTTCCCTGACCGTTTGGTTTCCCATGTTTCTTAAACATGAACTGTTCCTTCAGCGTCGTTGCACGCCACATTCCGTCTAGTCCGGGTGTACTGTGGCTGTCTGCTCTCGCGGTTGTCAGTGGCACCAAGTACCCGCGTCGCCTTCGCCTGTCAAGCCTTGCGTACGCGCATGTGACAACCTCCTAAATCGCCGTGAGCTCAGTCGATACTTATCCCTTCTCAGGACGAAGCAGTGTAGCGACCGAGGATGATGAAGACGACACACACTCCACTAAGTAACGTATCTGGAGTCGTTTCTAAGCCATGAAGGTGCTGGACGGAGTCGATAAGTGCCACACAAAATGACAGTTCGACCGTCGATCTCGACGATGTCCACTGTGTGCTCCATAACAGGGTGAGAGCAGGCACTGCGAATTGCACGTGAATAAGTTTATGGTGAGAGTAGACTTACGCAGCATTTGACGCACTCTCTCCTCCCCACTTGGACCCGGTGCTAAGACAGAGTCAAGAAGACCGGAGGTAGGAGAGGGCGGGGGTGGGTAGACACGGGCCTAGGCGGACCATCAAACCCCCGTGGTCTACAACAGGCACTTGACCAGGATTCTTACCAACGACAGCATAACAGCGGGTTAGAAAGACGAGGATGGCTGGACAGCCGTGCTCAAGACCTGTACACCACACCAAATGCACGTATATGAATACCACGAAAGTAGTAAGCGTATAAAAACTATATTTAGGACAATAATCTGGTCGACACGTAAGAAGGATGCAGTAATATCAGAAAGGAATGCGTTACATATACAATTGACCAGTCTGGAGTGGTGGGTGTTTCGTTATGTCTTCCAGACCACCGATGGGGAGCGCAGCGCTGTGGGCAACTGCAGGTGAGGGTCTTGGAAGGTGCTGACGCGAAACGGAAGCTAACGAGAAGGTCTGTGAGAGCGTTGATTGCGGGGAGGGTGTCAGCGGTTGTGAGGCGAATGGTCACCGGCATCTTCATTGACGCACGATCACACCGTCCCAATCCTAGGTCCACGCAAAAGGTAACTTCGATCTGCTTAAACAGTTCAGCCAGGTTCACAGTGCGTTACGGCTGCTGGTGACTCGCTCAAGTGGGCGTGCACGTGCCAATCGAAATGGATATCAAGCCGATCCATCTTTCCTGACGTTGGCAGTCAGTCTGCACCCTCAGCCATGATACAGGCGGAGGTGCTGTGGTTTTTGGCCAATATCTTCAGAAGTCATCCGACGCATTTTGTGATTTTTACTGCAGTTCTGCAACTGGCAGTGAACTGTATTGAGCGTTGTGTGGTGAAAACAAAGACGCGAAAATATATCGCGAGTGAATCCACTGCTTTTCATTATTTTCTGTTGTTCATGATCTTTTTGATGTTGAAGTTTTTTTCGCGCTGACATCACTTACTCTGAGCCAATTTGACCATTGCGATCCTGTGAAGTGCACTCAGTCAGCATATTGCGATTTACATACATATATATACATGTCATATATATGATTGCTATGCGTGTGATTATAGAAGCTGCACAGGTATCATATCCACTGTTTCTATCTTCTTGTAGTAATGGCTGCGATTTTTGGCAGACTTCATCCTTATCGACAGAAGTACGCAATGATGATCGTAGATGGGGCGGATGGTGGAGTGGAGAGAGGACGGTGAGTTTCACCTTATAAGTGTTTTCTTGATACATTAATTGTACTGGCCCAGGCATGACGTCATCAGAACTTACGCATGGTTTCATATCGATAGGCGAGCGTGCGAGTGTAGAAATCGGCACACACACTCCACTTTCGGAGACAGATCCTCGCACAATGACCGAGAGACAGTCGGCCGAGGGACCTGAGCTGACGATTTCGATCCCCACAATGATCACGGGAACGTATGTCACCTGCCATTCTTATATTAGAACGTTTGGACATTACGAACTTGTTGCCTTGGTTGGCTAACGCTCGATCTTCTCTTTGCACTGGGGACGCCGTTGGAAATGCTGAAGGGGATTACTCGAACGAAAAGCCGTTGGAAGTGAGCACCGACGATCGGGTCAGTGATGTCGTCGAGGCCGGCGACGGTAAGGCGTACAACGCAGGTTGGTCTTCGTGTGATCACTTCGAGTAGATTCCACGTTCTTACACGCCTTTCCTAAAAAAGTACGTGCACTACCAATGTAATCCTTTCTATATAGAAGGCAGTGATTTTATTAAAGTAGAAACGAGTTCCATGTGTGCAAACAGGGGTGAGTGAGGGTCCGATCTTAAATATGACGTCTGATTTAGCAAATTTAGGGCTTAAAACCCTCATGTCATTTGATGAAAAATTCAATAATATTGCCCAGGACCCTAGCAGGCGGCGGCGGCGAATATGCCCCGGTCGAGGTGTCTGACGGTTGTTTCGTCGTCTTATTCGTTGTGAGCACCTTTTCCCTCGTGCCTCAGCAGAGAGGACATTTAAGTCGCAGGCAATTAATTACTTTTCTTATCTACTCATTTATATCCTATCAAAGTCACTCGCGGCCAATGCTATTACGAATTTGCTGACACAGCCAGTTGTCTTCTAAAGAAATGTAAGTCTGTTCACTCCCTTAGTACTTAGGCTCCATCTGCCATGTTGAACCCATCTGCTTAAGCGTAGTCAATCGGCATTAATTTTTTCAACATAAACGTTTGCGGTGTCCTTAGAGTATGAGTAAACACACTTCAGGTCATCGGCATAAATAAAAGTTTGCGAATTTCCCAGTTCAGTCGAAATATCATTGATGTAAAGAAGGAAGTGTAGAGGACCCAGAACCGTGTCTTGAAGAACGCCACTCGTGATCGAGCGAGATGTCGAGTAGCTATTACCGACCATGACTTTCTGATATCGGTTGGACAGATAGGACCTGATGAAGTCGAGTAGAGGCGGCCGGATCCCTAGAGCTTCCAATTTTACTAAAAGACGTCTCTGGGGCATCTTGTCAAAGGCTTTGCTAAGATCAAAGTAGATAACTACCACTGACCGCCGCTCATTGCGGAGGGAAGTGATAAGACTAAGAAATGCCAAGTGGCAAGTTTCGCGGGATCGGTAAAGTAAAAATTCATGCTGACGAGAGCCCAGAAGCCGATTAGCTAGACAGAAGTCAAGAATTTCATTGAAAATAATCCTTTCAAGAAGCTTTGCTATAGACGGTGTTTTTTGCATGCCCCGATTGTTATAAACATCGGACCGAGGTGAACAACGGCACTGAGCACAACCACCACCAACACCACCGGAATACACAACATGAGTCACTCGAGCACCTCTCCCCGGTAAATGCAACACACACCAGTTGGACACCGCTTCGCATTGACACACAAGCCTATAAAGGCAGCTCTCATCACTATCTTACGAACTCCCGGTCATGACTGGACGCAGCCAACACCAGTCCTGGCTTCACCAACGGTCACTTCCGCCTGAGAAGGCAGCTTCGGGTGCGGTGTACAATGAACCCCTCATTCTGGCAACTTATCTTTTCTCCCTAAACTCGGGATTTGGCCTAATGATTGTAGCGCTCTGGCTACACTCTCTCCTCTTAACCACTACATACTCTCATTTGTTAAAGTGTGTAAGTGTCTTTAGATACCAGAATCACCTTTGTCGTAAATCCCCAGCAAGAGGAAGACTGTACCGCGCAGTAGTCCGTGCGGTTGACAGAGTACTCTGAACGGACGAATTCGGACCACCACAATGACCTCCAAGGGGCATCTCATCAGTCACACTTCCTTTCGTATATTCTCACACAACCCCCTCTTCACACTGGGTGGCTCATATGACATCTTATTTCTTACGGCAGTGACAATGCTGGAGATCGTGCAAAGGGCTCTTTATCTGACGATATTTCGGAACTACTAGTTGACGGATTGAGGAAAGTTGCTGTTGAGGTGAACAACGGCTCTAAACACAAGGCAGTTTGGTATTCGTGTGATAGTTCGTGCATATTCCGAGTTTGTATACGTCTTTCTTGAAATGTGCACCCATTATCAGCATAACTATTTATATTTCGAAGACATAAGTCCGATTTAAAAAAACTGTTACCAAGGTTAGCAGCATGGCCTCAAACTTGAATGGGACTTGACAAATGGGTGACTTCGATAGATAGGACACTTTAAGTCGGTTATGCAATTACAGTTTGAACTAAATGTTAAAGAGAGTTCTATGCCAGTATGTGTCCCAAAACCCACCACGCACTCTAAGTGAAAAAGCCCCAAACTAAACATTAATGGATGGCAATACTTCGACGAGATTTCAGAGAAACATTGGTCACTCACCTAATTAAGCCACCTGGGTGCAATGCCGTTTATGACGCACGCGACTGGCCGTACGATCGAGATGAATGTACCATTTGAGCTCAGGTTAGCAAAAGTAAGAGATCCTTCGTCGGCCCTTCGTCTCTGGCACTGGCAGTTATTCTGCTCCTCACAATGATACCGGCGGAGATGTTGTGGCTTTTGGCCAATATTCTCCGGAGAACTTTGACGCAATTTGTGGCGTTAATTGCAGTTTTGCAGTTCGCAGTAACCTGCATTGAACGTTGTGTAGTTAAAACGAAGACGGGCAAATACGTCGCAAGTGAGTACGCACTGATTTTCACTACATTCTCTCGTTCACTGTCTTTTTCACATTGAAGTGTCTTTGCGCCCATAACACCTACTGCGAGTCATTGTAACTGTAAGGCTGTGAAGGGCGTTCAGACGGGGTAACTTGGTATGTGTGTCGTAATAGAGATAAATATATATATGCAGAGAAGATGCACAGGTATCACTTGCAGACTGCCTGGCAACAATATCTATGCACATCCGCCTTCTTTGCCAGACTTTGAAACCCTTTGTTTGCCGAACCACATCAGACTAGGCTCTTATCTTCTTTTAGTAATGACTGCCATTTTCGACAGACTTCGTCTTTATCGGCCAAAGTATACGCTGAAGGTAGTAGAGGAAGTGGAAGGTGGAATGGAGAGAGGACGGTGAGTTCCAATTTGTTAGCGTTTCCTCGAAACACCAATTGTAATGTCCCAAGCGAGATATCATCAGAACTTACACGTCATTTCAGATCCATAGGGGAATGTTCAAACGTTGAAATCGGCACCTACACCCCACCTTCGTTGAAGGTAGTAGATGAAGTGGAAGGTTATCTCAATTCTTGCCAGGCTGTGGAGTGTGTTCAGTCGGAATATTTTGATGTGGGCGTCATGATGTAGGTAGGTAGACTGGAAAATGGGCACCCCTGGAGGCATAATTCGAAGAAAACAAGTTCTTTTGGAAAGAGTAAGAGATTTTATAATGTAAATGTCCGACAGGTTCTTCGGGTCGTCGTCGTCGCAGTCAGACGTGCAGTAAATGTGCGAAACAGTTCACATTTTAAACGAACCTGAAAAAAATCGATATTGCTTAATCATTCTTCTCAATAAGCCCTCACTGTGGGCGGACATCTCGTTCTGATTGGCTGTCGGCTTTTTGCATTTACCTTTGAGATTTTTGCACACGGCGTCCAATTTAATGCGTCGATTAATGCACGAAAACGCAGAGTGCATGGCCTCCAAAAAATTCTCGGCCTTCAGATGGACAGGAATCGACTTTGCGCACCGTTTCCAGTGTATGCATGCAAGTGGTCTTGCCATTTTTCTACCAATTGGTGGTCGTGTGGGCGTGGGGAGTCCGACTATCCTGTTCGTCCCCAATACACTGCATCGCAAATGCCGCAGTCCGTAGATCTCAGCTATGGTTGGTTCAGGATATTTGTTCCTCCCCTGTAAGACACTTAAGTGCTTTTTCCAGCGGCTGAATTCTGCGTTTTGGAAGGGTATGCGTCAAGACGGATATAGAGAGATTTACAGTGCGTGACCGATCTCATGAAAGGTTAGCCGAAATTGGGAACTGGGAAACTTTTTAAAACCCAAAGACGCACTTTCTTCGAGTATAAAATATGAAGACAATGTAATTTCCTACTAAATAAGCAAAAGAAAACACATTTTTTTGTGCATGTTCTCTATAAAATATATTTGAATTTATAAGAGCATCAAAAATCAGTAGGAAAAATGCATGTTACATAAGTAGTCATTTTTTAAAGAGTGGGTTTCTCCAGGAGGTCAAAAAGAAGTGCATTCAAAAGCCGACATCCTGGCGGGTCCGAAATGTTATAGGGATATGCTGCAGGATAATCAGTATAACAACCCCCCTTAAGTAATCTTTAGCAATCGGAAACGCATTTAAGAATCTTGGCTAACATTTCATGAGATCGGTCACGCACTGTATTTTATAAAAGTAACAGCAACTATTTGGCGTAGTCTGCTTTGGACAAACAAGAGTTGAGCCTCGTTTGTCCGCAGGAAGAATGACGATCCTATTGTCAGTTTTGAAAGCGTTATTCCTGCGAGAGTACTGAAGAAGCATCTCGGTTCTTCGAGACATGTAAATAGTTATTTCCGCTTCTGAAAAGTGCAATATCTGCAAGACTATCTGCTGATATGACAGAACCCAAGTTCGCAAAGTAAAGGCACAGGTACTAAAAACAGATCGCCTGGAAACAATGTCTATGCACATCCGCGTTCTTTGACAGACTTTGAAAAACTTCGTTTGTCGAACCACCTCAGACTAGGCTCTCATCTTCTTTTAGTAATGGCTGCCATTTTCGAAAGACCTCGTCCTTGTCGACCATAGTATACGCTGAAGGTAGTAGATGAAGTGGAAGGTGGAGTGCAGAGAGAACGGTGAGTTTCAATTTGGCAGCGTTTTCTCGATACACCAATTTTAATATCCCAATCGAGATATCATCAGAACTTTCTCGTGATTTCAGATCCATAGGGGAATGTTCGAACATTGAGGCCGGCACCTACAGCCCACCTTCGGAGACAAATCCGCACACAATGAACACGATGCGGCTGACCGAGGGAACTGCGACGGCACCTGCGGTGTCCACAATGATCACGGATGCGTATGTCACCTGCCATGCTTGCATCCGAACATTTGCACATGCATCATTTGTGCATTGATTTGCTAACGCACAATCTTGCCTTTGCAGTGGTGACGTCGTTGATAGGCCTGAAGGGGATATTTTGGACGTAGAACCGTCTGAAGTGAACACTAGCGGCCAGGCCAATGTCGTCGTCGTCGAAGCGGGCGACGGTGAGGCGTACAACGCAGGTTGGTCTTCATGTCATCAGATCGTACACATTCCAACTTTGTATGTGTCTATCCTCAAATGTGCATTCATTACCAAAGTACTGTTTTCTGTTTAGCGGATGCCACTGTCACTAAAGCAGAAGCAATTGCCACTGAGGAGGACAGCGGTGAGTGAGAGTTCCATATCAAATCTGACGTCGGATTTGGCAAATGTAAGACTTAGAACGATCCCGTCCTTGTTTGCAGAGTCCCATCTTACTGCGCAGAAACCTAGACGACGAGTACGCCTTGGTCGGAGAATCCGACGACTATTTCGTCGTCTTAACTGCTGTGGAACCACGACCGCGCAGGACTGACCACCTTCTCCCTCAACCGCCCGACTTCGTAGTCTACTGTATTGCATCTCGATAGGACACTGCTTCGCAGATAACTCATCGCTTTTCTTGTTGTTAAACTTACTTATATCCTATGTACTTTGTCCCGATCAGATCTATTAGAAGATGCGTTTACACAGTCGATTTTCTCCTTACAGATTCTAAGCCTATTTATCCCCCCCCCCGATACTTGTAATTTAAGATTTTCTGAGTAGCTGTGATTGTACAGAATGTCTTCATATTTAATCTAATAAACAATTTCGACGATCGGCTTGACCGAAATGGTCAGTTGTGTGATTAGGCCTGAGTTGTCGGCAAATACGGACTAGACGAGAATGATTTGATCCGAAATGGTAGGTGAAGTATGATAGAGTGCGGTGGATGCAGCGCAAGTCCACTATTCCTGTGTGAGTCACAGTCCCTGGGCCCACCCTGTTGTGAAGTATACGGTGGACATCGTCCATCACGACGGTCGAGCTGTCGGGTGTTGGAAATAGGGGCTGTTCAAAGAACTCATTCTGATCGGGATATGGTGATGCCTCGGCGTAAGTAAATGCTAGTGGAAGCCCTATGGCAGTAGGTATCTCAAAGCCTACTCTGTACGTCTAGTATGTATGCTCACAATGGTGGCAGCGAACGAGTCGAGCCCACAGCCTAAAAACAGTACAACAAACCCGGTTCCGTCTTCTTTTAAACCCTACGACGGGAGTAAAGATTTTTCGTGCTGGCTGCGCCGCCTTAAGTTCCACCTAGACGATGTTCCACAAAACGAACACAGCCGCATGGTACTTCAACATCTTGCAGACCACCAGATGGACAAGGCACTCGATGCCGGCCTCTCCCGCCACACCCCTTTCCAGGTGCTGTGCGACCAATTGCAGAGGCTATTCCAACCTCCCTTGACCAGTTACTAAAACGTTCCTTAAGGAGCGATGAGACCCCTCGGCAGTTCGCCGACGCCTTACTCCGGCTCGCACGCGACGCCTACCCCTCACTGTCAGCGGCCGATAGAGACCAAGTGGTCCTTTACCACTTCAAACGCGGCCTCGGGTCCCAGGAGGTGACGTATTCCCTGAGGATTCAGCCACCGGGCGACCTCAACGAAGCCATCCAGCGGCATCCCGCAGGCTAACAACCGACGCCCCAACAGGCCATAACCACTCCCGGGCTGAACCGTGGAAATCCACGCCAGACCGCAGGCAACAGAACAACACCTGGACCAGACCGCACTACAAGCCTTCACAACGATTCAACCGCGGCAGCCGACCCTCCACGTTCCGCACGCCCTATCGACCTCCACCGCTCAACACTGGGCCAAGACAATTCCGGGGAGATAGAGACAGTACTGCGGCGGCGATTACCAAGGAAGGTAACCACATCATTCCCGTGTGCATTGATAACGCGTCACATAGTTTATCGTTTTACACGACGATTTACCTAGACAACAAACCCATTAAGGCTCTAGTTGACACAGGTGCCACCACGTCGTTAGTTCGGGCGGATGTACTAGACTCTAAGTGGCTTAAACTCGCCCGACAAAGCGGTCGCTCACCACACCTCAAAACCGCAGACGGGTCACCCATGACCACGTTAGGGATGGTTCGACTGCCCATCTCCTTTCCAACCAGCGTTAAGGAACAAGCTTTTGTCGTCACTCACAGGATGTCGTGGGACATGATACTCGGCCTAGATTTCCTTTCTGCACACAACTGTTGTATTATGGTCAAAGAGCGTATACTATCCTTAGGGCATAAGTCACCGCCTAACCAAACAACAGCCGCCGAGTTTGACGAAGAAGCCACCTGCGCGGCCATCGCAGCATCGGTAGCCTTACCACCCACAAGTGTAGACACGGTCTTACCACCAGATGATACGGTCGCCCTTACCGACAAGGCAGAATTGAAGTCACTTCTGACTGCGTTTAGCGATGTTTTTGCATGGATGATACCTCCTTAGGTCGCACCGCTGTCATCCGTGACAGCATTGACACCGGCACGTCGAAACCTCTGTGGCAACCACCACGCCGCATTCCACCACACTTTCAGAAGGAGGTGAGCGACCTAATTCAAACGATGCTGACCACAGGGATAATCCGCCCCTCCAAGTCGCCGTGGGCATCGCCAGTCACATTAGTGCCCAAAAAAGACGGCAAACTCCTATTTTGTATAGACTATCGGCGACTTAATGCGGTCACCACCCGCGATTCGTTTCCACTTCCAAGAATTGATGTCACACTCGAAGCGCTTGCCGGAGCCCAATGGTTCTCAACGTTGGACCTGAAGTCCGGTTATTGGCAAGTTGAAGAGGAACCTAAAGACCGCCCAAAAACAGCGTTTATACTACCACAAGGGCTGTTCGAATTCGAAACCATGCCGTTCGGGCTCTGCAACGCAGCCGCCACCTTCCAACGACTGATGCAGTCCGTCCTGGCCCACTTATACCCTCACAGCTGTTTGATATACCTCGACGACGTGACTGTGTTTGGACGCACGGCCCAGCAACATAACGCTAACCTCGCCGCAGTGCTCTCTGCTCTCCGCGACGCCGGCTTGCGTTTAAATCCACAAAAGTGCAAGTTTCTGTGCCGGAAAGTCACATTTCTTGGCCACGAAGTCAGCCCACAAGGCATACAGGCGTCACAGGAAAAATTAGAGGCAGTCAGATCATGGCCTACGTCGAAGACCCCAACAGAAGTCAGAGGCTTCCTCGGCCTGGCCTCCTACTATCGCCGCTTCATCCTCCACTTTGCGGAGCTCGCACGTCCCCTCCATCGGTTGACCGAAAAAGGTCGCTCATTCACATGGTCCGACGATTGTCAACAGGCCTTCTATGAGTTAAAAGCAAAACTCACTTCGGCACCGATATTAATGCTACCTGACACGAGTCCTGAGGCTCCCCCCTTCATACTCGATAGCGACGCCAGCGGGTTCGCGATCGGGGGCGTACTCTCACAAGCCGACGAGACAGGGGCCGAGCGACCGATTTGCTTTGCGAGAAAAACCCTATCGAAGCCCGAGCGAAACTACTGCACCTACCGACAAGAATTGTTAGCGTTGATTACGTTTATCAAGCAATTCAAACCATTCTTAGTGGGAAAGCACTTCATTGTCCGCACCGACCACAAGGCCTTACAGTGGTTACAAAACATTAAAGAAGCCGAAGGCCAGCTTGCGAGATGGCAGGAACTACTGCAGGAGTTCGATTTCACTTGTCAATATTGACCAGGCCACCAACACGCCAACTCGAACGCCCTTTCTCGCCGCCCAAGTGAGGCCGGCACAGCAGACCCAGAAGTAACGGACGAACACATAGCGGTGGTTACAATCAGCGAACCCACTCGTTATCATTGGGCAGTGGCACAAAGTACCGATCCGGACACCGCAATAATTTACGACCACCAGTTGCATGGTCGACACAGACCAACAGAGATCGAACTTCGCGGCTCCTCGGAGGTTGCCCGCCTCTTGTGCCGCCAATGGGCCAACCTGTTCGTTGAGAATGAACTACCCATCCGCGGCTAGTTGTCCCGAGTAGCCTCGTCATGCCTGTCCTCACAGACTTACACCACGAGCTGGGAAATGTAGGAGTGACTAAAACGGAAACGGCTGCTAGGGAACGCTTCTGGTGGCCTCGCCTCAGAGAGCAAGTCGCCAACTTCTGTAACGCGTGCCCCACCTGTGCCTCCTTCAAGGGTACCATCCCACGAAATCGTGCACCCCTACAGCCTATGATTACAGTCTTTCCTTTTGAGCGGGTGGGTGTAGACATAGTCGGCCCGTTGCCTTACATAACTTCCGGCCATCGCTACATCTTAGTGTTGGTAGATTATTTTACGAAGTGGGCTGAGGCCATCCCCTTACATCGACAAGATGCAGCTTCGGCCACCAATGCGCTGCTAAAGGAATGGGTCTGTCGATACGGAGCACCCTTTTCACTTCACTCCGATTGCGGAGTCAACTTCGAAAGCCACCTTCTACGCGAAGTCTGTGACCTGCTCCTCATCCACAAGACTCGAACTACACCAACCCACCCAGAGGGCAATGGCCAGGTGGAGCGTACAAACCGAACCATCATTAATATCCTGAAGGCGTTCGCCGAGGACCACCACTCACACGATTGGGACGTGGAATTACCCTTCGCCATGATGGCCTACAGAACCACCATTCACTCTTCAACGGGCCACGCCCCACACTATATGTTGACCGGCTGCCAATTCCGACTACCGGCAGACTCGAACGTCCCTGCGCAGCAACCGACAGCCTATACAACCGACAACTACGTGATAGAGCTACAGGAGCTACTAAGACTCACGCACAACCTGGTCCGCACATAACTCCGCAACGCCTACGACAGACAGAAGACTTATTTCGACCGCCGGGCACACGGGCTCCCCTACCACATCGGCGATTTAGTGCTCCGCTATCGGGCGGTTCCGTCTGTTGGCACACCGGCCAAATTCTTCCATCCGTGGGAAGGACCGTTCGTGGTCGCCGACGTCATTTCGCCCACTACTTACATTATCCGCGACGCCCTCACCCACGCCGGCCCCACTTTCACTGTACACTTCGACAAGTTAAAACCTTACCACGGCAGTCTCCACATAGCGTCCCACGATACCCTACCCATTCTCCCTCCTCATTTAGTCCCCTCGCCTACCAACGATGTGGAAGTTCCTCCCGACCCACACCCCCCACCAGGCCCCGCGGACGGGGCACTGCCTAGAGGGGGGGTAGTTGTAGCAGGTACACATGAACGGTTGTTTTAATAGACAAGGGCGCTAGGTTTGATAGCAAGGGTGCCTGGTGTCTGGGCACCATCTGTCTGCTATCTCTTGTTTTTTTTAGTTGAGGTGCGCGAGGAAGAAGACTCCCCCTCCCCGGTGGCAGCATCCAACTCCACCTTCCCTGGACAACTGTGAAACTAACGTTTGTTGGACTAATAGATTCCTCCCTCTGTTTAGCCCTCGTCCTGCGTTCACCTTTTTTGCCCTTCCTCAATAAACCTTGGAGTACTACGCGGCTTATCGACGTCCTGCTTACCAACAGAACATTCTAGAAGTTGGACGGCGAAACCACACGTACCAGTCCCACAACCATAGCTGACGATACTCCAACCTGCCCGCCCTCATAACGTGCATCTGGGCCAAGGATGAAGCCAACCAACCCGCTACCTTCGAATATGCCGCAACAGCGATTCGCAAATTGTCCCACCCATTCCACAGGCCACTGGCATAATGTAATGCAGGTGGTCATTGCACATTACCACGGACGAATGAGTGGCATTCTGCAATATTCCACTCCTCCTACCCCTCCTCCCCCATATCTTCCCGTTGATGGCCTTAGGAGCCCAAAACGTCTGAGTGACGATGGATAGTGATGATAAGATTGCCTCTGGTCGTTCTAGACGATCCGACTCTGGAGAGCATCCCTCACTACGTGATATTCATATCCGAAATGTGCAGCCACATTCACACGTTGCACACCGAGTACGTCTATCCATCAGATCCTCACCCTCGCATCGCAACATCGACTCTGTAAAATCCCTGTCAGAAGCAACATCAGGCCGAGAAGTGAAAAAAGAGTTCTCACCTTGCTGAATAAATGTGCGAACAATAGGCGCATGGTTGCGGTATTCAAACGGTTTTCTTGCTAGCCTCAAACTGGGGTCAAAAGAGGGCCTCACCATCTAATGTCCAAACTGGATCAGTCCTCCCGATCGAAACAGAGACTTGACCAAGCGGAAATTGCCTGGACAGTTTGTACTTCGGGAGATCCAGGTCAGAGACGAGGCAGTGGGCGCGGACTAATGTCGACAGCCATCACGGCCATGTCTGGCGTACTTGTGGAATGCTTCATGATGGCAAGGTCATCCGCCTTTGCAGGCCTGCGGCCACTCGACCGACTTCCACTCTGACGCACGAGTGCCGGGTTAATTTATCTTTGACAATTCAGTCCCGTTTTCTTTCCCCGGATTGCTTGTTTGAATGCGGCGAATAACAACACACCTTTACAACCCGCCTTGCTGGACTGCTTTGCTGTCCCGCTCTGTTGTCAGGTTACTTAACCTTCAGAATCTCTATATTATTCACTGCTCATTTTTACTAGCTGCCTTAAAGGCCAGGGGCTCGTGAGA